ACCACATCTCAATTTAATGATTGCGCCATTCAAATATTCGGTTAGTGTACTTTACAGCATACATTCATAAAACAGGTTTTGTTTTAGTTGTCAACCAACAGACCATAGTATCAGTTACTGTGCATCACCAGAACCAGAGGACATCGCAATTAGATCATGGAAATCTGGTGACTCTTTTTCTGGTGGCAAATCTGTAATAATGTGAGTTGTGTGCTTTTTTGGAGTTTGCTAGTGAATTTTGGTGCAGACTATGTGCACTCCCTTTATTGTGCCATCTTTCTCAGTGGTGAGGGTTTATCCCAGTAAAATAACAAAACCTTGGCCACGGGTAACACAAAACTGGTTCCAGGAACACTTGGCTGGCTGTACTCCACTGATCCTTACACTCACCAGATTTAAAACCCATTGTGAATGTACAGGACATACTGCAGACATTTACTAAATTCTCGTGCAGCCACACTCAACAAACACAATAATTGAGTTGGATATACAACAACACCACTGCAACTTTTAAAGCCCATACACCATGTTGCATAGGTAAAATAATTCAGGTGAAAGAAGGCGCAACACTTTAACTGTTTCTAACTTTTTGGCACTTCAGGTGATGCTATATTTCATTTCTGAGAAGGGCACCTCGAGGTGGTGTAACGGTTAACAAGCTTGTCTCGCTAAAACAATTATGAATGAGTAGTGAGTTCGATCCTCAATGGGTGCCCCTTACTTTCGGCCTTGTGCCACATCCAAGCTACATTTGGAAAATCACTATTTCATTTCGGAGACGAGTAACTGTCAATATTCTTGTTTTCAAGGTGGTGGAATGGGTAAAGAAGTTGGTTATACATGTGTTACTACCATATATTGGTCATGAGTTCAATCCTTGGATCAGGTAGTGAAGCACCAATTCAGCAGGAATGAACAATAACTGATAGAACAGGTAAAAAATATCACAATAATCAAGATATCGCATATCAGCCAACCAATGATCACCTGATGATGACCAGAAGGTACTTGATTGAAATGTATCTATAACAGTGGTTTTCAACCTTTTTGCTGGAGCAGAACCACAAGGAAACATTCCAGTGACTCGAGGAAACCCTGCAATAAAAATTACTGTCAATCATAGTACTTGTATAACTTCTTGCGGAACACCTGGGCTTTACTGGCGGAACGCTAGGGTTCTGTGGAACTGGTTGAAAACCACTGATCTATAACAACACCTATATCAACCAAAATGAGAACAATACTTTGAAATAATACAAGAATATTCAGATGATGATTTATTTTTTTAACACTTCAGGTTTACTCATCCACCTACCTAAGAAAAAAATGATAATGTCACTATTTAATTAATTTATAATTACATTGTATTTATAAATACAAAGCAAATACACATTAAAAAGAAATTGTTGCTCTGCATTTTCTTATGTTCAATGATTTCAAATTCTTAAATGAAATTTTATTCACCATTAAAAAAATATTTTTTCGTATCACCAGACACTAACAGAAGTAAAAGGCTTGTCATTTAGTTAACTGATGTTACCTTCAGCATCCTTACTTCAGAGGTTCATAGACAGACCCCTCCAGGAATCACTGTCCACTCCTCAGGGGGTATCAGCAATTGACTGCTCATACTTTGCTTTTTCTTTTTTATATGCACTTTTCATTGGCACAAGATTTTTTTTTCATAGTGTGTACACAGGTGTAGAATGTCATGGGTATTTGTCCTTTGCATTGTTTTTTTTTTTTCTTTACACTCACTCCTTAACCTTTTCTCTCTTTTTCTCTTCCTCTTATCTTTCAATTGTAGTCATTTTGACTTCTGGTTTTCTAGACATATACTGTCATTGTTAATTCTTATATGATTAATACAAATAAAATTTGTCACATAACCAATTGATGTTATATATACCACCTTGACTTGAGTTTCATACATGAACCTTTTTTGTAATTGTTTTGTCCACTTGAGAGTCAGGAGGTATCTGAAATTGACTGTGGATTTTCAAAATTTTATTATTCTTATAACTTAAAAATTGATGTATGCATTATTTATTGGTGTTAGGTTGGATTTTGTATATGTGTGTGTGTGTGTGTGTGTCAAATGTTGTGGTTATTTCTTCTTTTTATAATTTTCTTGTCTCTTTATACACTTTCCCTATTCCTATTCATTCTTTTTTTTCTTCTCTTTCAGCTAAAATATCATGCAGTGAGTGCTGGTGGTAATAAGAGTGCTCGATGTATAATAACGGAGCTAAAATTTATACTAATAATAAATATACATTTTGTTCCTCACCGTTAGCCCAATTTCATGCATGACATACAGTAATATTAGCTGTTTCCTTATAAAGAAACATTCGGCATTCACTAAGCAGTTAGTGCTACTTTCAGTTGAAATTTATAAAATCTTTCTTTTAAAACTTTTCAGAAAAATAGGTTTCTCAAGTTTACTGTTATTGCTCTTTCCAGTATAGATGGGAGGAGACTTCCTTCCTAGCCTTTTGTTTGAAGTAATGAGGAACATCAACATCTTCAAGTGAAATGTGCTATTCATTTTAGTGCTTGCTTGTTGAGAAGTTTTGCATAATCAACACTATATAATAATTACTGTTGTGTATTTGTATCCTTTGTGTCATGCTCTATATAAGTTGCCTGTACTATCTTGTATATAAGTGTTGACAGACTTGATACATCAAATGAAGTCTATAGACTATCCAGTTGAATTTTTAAACACTGACTATGCCTAGAATGCTACCACATATGCAGAATTGGCATGATTATTATGATTCTACACAATATTGATTCTAAAAGAAGGTTACTTAATGGAACTAGATTTATAATAAAGTCCATGCTCTTTACATTCATAGCAAAATACTAAATGACATTAAGAAAGGGGATGAAGAGTTCATACTAAGATTAAATCTAACACCCAGTGATACTAATCTTACATTTAGTTTGCATGGTTGTTAGTTTCCTGTTATTTCTGCATTTATAATGACAGGTTGCAAAGTCAATCATTTCCTTATGTTGACGTCTGTTTATCAACCCCAGGGTTAGCTCATGTACTATTTATATAATGCTCAGTAGAACAAATAAAAATAAAAACAGCCTCAAAATAAAGACAACCAAGGCAATCTTTTTGAAAACAAAATCTTTACAAGTGATAGAAGAATTGACTAAAAAGTTCATTAGTAACTTCTGTTTAAGTTTTGAATTATGATTTCCAAGATCCAAAATGCATGGACTGAAACTTCCAATTTAGTATTTTGGTTTGGTTGACAACATATCAACCTCAATAGGTTATTTAATGCCAACAAATTTTTTAATACTGGTAATATTTTTTTTTTTTTTTTTTTTTCCCAAATGTATTGCTGGTAATATTTTGTTTGTAATAATTTTCATTTAAAAATATATTGCTGGCAATAATTTTTCCTTCACAAAAGCATTGCTAGTAATATTTTTTCCTACAAAACATGTATTGCTGGTAATAATTTTTCCTTCAAAATTGTATCTCTGATAATTTTTCCTTCAAGACTATATTGTTAGTAATAACTCTTTCTTCAAAAATGTGTTGCTGGTAATAATTTTTTCCTCAACAATGTATTGCTGTTAATAATTTTTCCTCTGTAAAAGTATTGCTGGTAAAAAAAAAAAAGTTTTTCTCTAAAATGTATTTCTGGTAATAATTTTCCCCTCAAAAATGTATTGCTGTTATTACTACCCATTTTTACACCTCAACAGCATTTTGAACTCTATTTGGGGGTCAACCACTTGCCCATAGCTGGGACCCTAACAAGTGCTACCAACCTGGGAACACCAGCAATTAAACAGTGGTTCCAAACTCTTCAAACTTCCAATCAGAGGCCTTGCTGTTGGATGTAGTTTATCATCATACCCAGGACAAAATTTGGCAGTTTGATATCAAAAGTAAAGACAGCCAAGGAAATCTCTTTTTAAAAACAACTTACCATAAATTGTGGCATAGAAGTAGAGTTTCCAAATTTTTAAAAATCTTTCCAAAACTAGGGGTTTACTTATATAGTGGGTATAAAACGCAAAACTTTACCACTGTGTTGTAAACAAGTGGGACATCATTTGTACCATTTACTGTACTTCCAGTAGGCTGCTACAAATATATCCCACTAAAATTTGTCTTTGGTTAACATATTTGGCATATTAACATAGAAATTAATATAAAATAATAAAATAGTAATGCAAATTCAGTATTCAATAAATGCTACAGAACACATTGCAATCAAACGGCTGATACACTAAGTTTAAATTGAATGAATTGGAAGGTAATGAAAAGGAAATCAACCTATATAGTAGAGATAGATCTAACTCAGAATTTTGAGCTAAAAATCTCGAGGTTTACAGTATTACAAGAAACATTATAATAGAACTAATTGTGCAAATAATTCACTGGCTCCTGCTTATGCTGTGAATTCTGAATATTTGTTATGCAATTCAATGAAAGACATGTAATTGTTATGTTTACATATTAAATGCAATATAACAAAAATATTCTTAAGAAACTTAGTAATAAGGCAACAGATTAATTAAATGATTCATTGGCCTTTGTTTTAACTGTGAATCGTGTATCTATGCTTTATTGAATCTCAATACATTGTTTTAAAACCTTTCTTCCATTGCAACTCAACAATAAAACTCTTACAATTGCTGTCATTGTTTGATGGCATGGATATACCAATATATAATAAATAATACCTTTATTAAAATAACAGCTCCCTGCTCTTGACAAATATCTACTGTGTAAACATGTACTGTATATACAAGATAGAGTGAAAGCATGAGCACTTAACTGAATTATCTAATAAAATTACAAAGTTCATTGGTCAACACTTCAAGTTGTAGGTCAATGGTAATTGACAGCCGCTATGATATCTTTATAGAATCTCTATTGAGGGCAATTTGGTTAACAAATAATTGTTATCAGTCCTTAGGCAACAAGAATAAGTTGATCAATATAAAAAGTGATAACTTACTTTGTATGCACCGTCATAAAGAGCTACCTCCTCTCCCATCAAGAAAACTTTATCATCCCGCACAATCTCCTCATCTATGGCCATGTTCAGGGCATCTCTCACAGCCACCTGAAAATAGATGCAAAAAGTCAAACTTAAGAAAAATTAGAACAAAAAAATTTTGAACATCAATATTCAATAGGTCAAAATAATTTATTTTAAGCAGTAAATCTAAGTTTCCATGTTATTAGTTTGGTAAAGTGTTATAACCTAGAAAGGGTTACTGAATGAGAAATAACCAAAACGAAGGTTGGAAATGAAATAGTAATCTTTATAACATCAACAAAATACAATACTCGCCAGCAGCGTGAAGTAGGTAAACCACGCCTAGTGGTGTACTACTTAGCATATTACCCCCACTTACAATAGTGTCCAACGTGTTTATAAGGATTGGGACATAGTCATTAGTGCTCATAGGTACAGTATATAACAAAGTCTAAAGAATAAAGTGTATTCCTTTCTTTAAAATTCGGTGACACTAAAATGTTACATATATTAGAACAGTGTTGGTAACTTATTTTATTAATTTGAAGATGTTTTCTTTTTTTTTTTTATTATAGTTTGAATTTTATTTAGGATAGAAAAATAAAAATCCTGATGAAGGCAAGATTGACTGTTGAAATTTCTCAATATTGTGAAAACTATATCAACCCAGTTAACAATAACCATCCATGATCTGCCTGAATATAAGAGGCAAAGACTGCCATCCTCAAGAAATCATATAACTAATGAAAAAAAAAAAGATGATAGGATACAAGGCATATGGACTTAAGACATTCATACACCATAGACATTCAATGGACATTACCTAAACTACAGTTCCACCAAACCATGCAATGCAAAAATATTTCATTGTTTACAATACTGAGCAAAACAGGTACACACAAGAGATTACCAGTTTAAAGGACAGCCGCCATGGAAATGATGACCTTGCAAACATATCAGCAGTAAGAATCACCAGAGCCAAGAGTTAAAAGTCACAGGCAATACATCAGAGGCACAGGAGATCCAAAATATATACAATCCATACAACACAAGGACAGTCTTCAAAAACAATTCTATACCATGTAAACATTTCCCCCAAAGTAAAACCCTAAGTTGAAGAAAATTTTGAACTGAGAATATTGTATACTGAGAGAAGAAAGGCAAAGTCTCAGAACACCAAAAATGTAGATACTTTAAAAAATGTCGTATGACTGACCATGCATGGAAGAAGAGATGGAAGGAGATAACACTAAAATTCACCAAATTTGGCTAAAATTGTAAGGAAGGAAAAACATTCAAGATTAGCACGTGCATATTGTGAGTATTGGAAATAGACAGAAAAATACCCAAATGAACCAGCTTTGTGGCTCTTGTGCAAATGACTTTTCTACATGTAAACTTGAACTGAGTCTATGAGGCAGGCAGCTTTTGGGCCTCTGTGGAGCGACAAGTTCTCCCACAAAAAAGTAATTGATGGATGTTGAATTTAATGTATTGAACAGTAGTCCGTTTTACAAAAGTTGATAACCAAACATTCCAACAATAATAAAGGAAAAGAAAAGAACACAGCAAAAAATAATATTAAGCAGACACACACACACACACACACATATATATATATATATATATATATATATATATATATATATATATATATATGATGGACTCTCCCATTGTATTTGACATAAGAGAGTTAAACAGCTCAGTTTGTAGGAACTGAGAGTCAGACACTAGCACATATGATTTGATTATAGTGAAGGCTTTGTGCAGAGCCAACCAAACTTTTATATATATATATATATATATATATATATATATATATATATATATATATATATACACGTGTGTGTGTGTGTGCAAGACAAAAGTAGACAAAGCAACAGTAATAAGGCAAAAAGTTCACACAGTAAAAATGGTATTAACACACAAAAGGGGGTACAGACAAATGGTCATAGCATTCAGACTTCAAGACAAGAAAGAGCAAGAATATGGAGGATGAGGACAAGAAGTGGTCTATCTTATTGGCTAAAAAGAAATTCCAGCATGCATTTGTACAATTTGTCTCTAAATTTGAGGAGGCGGATGTTTTCTCAGTCATTACAAGTAGATTGATATCAACAACCAGCAAGACCACATAAATGCTTTTGAACTCTTATCAAGGCTCAAACTTGAAACAAAGTCAAAGATTATGATGATCAATTCACGTCTCAACACTATATCTTTTTCTTTATACACACAGTATTTTTCACATTTAAACATAAATATGATCAAACTTAAATAATGTTAATATTTTTTATAAAAACTGGCTGTTTATATAACCAGAGATATCATGTAAAATGTATTTAATAAAAAGATGAAGGAACAAATAGATGAAGGAACAAAGAGAAAGGGAGCCATAAAGGAACAAGATGGTGATGTTATAAAAAGCATTTGGTAGCAAAAGGAATAACAAGGATTAGATTGAAACAATGTTTATTGTTAGTAGAGAGTACAGGAATAACGATCTGGTGTAAGCATAGTGCTAGGAGTTGACCCATTTCTTGTGCTGGCATGGCTGAGGTCACAGGATACAGTCAGTGCACATTTGGTTAATCAAGGTCACGGTCGTAGGTTGATTTGTTGGTTGGTTGACCTGTTGTGTTGAACTGGGGTGACATCAGAGTGGTATGGTTTTGGTAGGCCTGTTCCATGGAACAGAGGTTGCGGTATCAACTATGAAGGGAATGCCTTGTAAATGAGTTAAGGTGGCTGAGGTGATGGCAAAGGCTGGTAGATCTGTTTTATGGAATGGAGGTCACAGTGCCGACTGCAATTGGAATGGCTTGTAAATGAGTAGAGGCAGGCTGAGGTGACAGAGGGGAGTTGGTACAGAGGTTGCTGTATCAGTTGTAAACAAGTCAAGGTAGGTCAAGGTGATGACAGGGTTTGGTAGGCCTGTTCTATGGAATGGAGGTTGCTGATCAAGGTCATGGTGGAGGATCGATTTGTGTTGGTTGATATTTGCTGAGTTGACAGCATTGTCAACGATGAAAGCTCATAGGTGAGTGGTGTCAAGGCTGTATAGTTAGCCACTTGTGGCTGATGTTTGAAGTGACGAGGTTGAAATGTTTTAAGCTGAAGCTGGATAGCCAAGGTGGTGGTCAAGCCTGGGAGTGTTAACGGTTGATGAGAGGTTCGGTCATGTAGGAGATGGCGACAGTAGCAGCAGCATCCTGCATGACAACCTGCCAGGACGCAACTACCCGGTTGTTTACAGAAACCTGCTTTTGTGGCATTCACATCCAGTCAGCATGCAGAATGAATCAGAAAGATATCTAATTGCAAAGGGGCATAACAGTGACACACTGTGGAGAGCCATGATTGCTCTGAAGGGACATGGCATAAAGAGGAAGAAAAAGAAAGAATTGCTTTCATAATATAACAATCAACACAGCAAATCCTCGTGTGATGGAGAAAAAAAAAAATTATAACTGCATTTTAAGATGAAATACATTTGGGCCTGGTATGTGTGTATATATATATATATATATAATTTTTTTTTCGTCACTAGTAGCATGACTGAGTTTCATGCACAACACAATCTTCAGACTGATGTTATATAATTTAAATGTGTTATACTGGATTATAGTGGAGCAGTCTATATTTTATATTGGGATTGTTGTTAAACAGAGTTGTGCTACAGGTGAGGAAAAAAAATGTATATTCATTCATACTTATAGCTCTGTTATATTACATTGAGCACTATTTTATTAAAACCAGTACTCAATGTGCGAGATATATATGTGTGTGTGTGCATCATTTTAACTTTTCTTATTGTGGCTCAGTGTCTTTAATGTTTTCTGCCCTCACTCAATATTTCAAGTAATAAGAGGAAAAAAAGCAGATGATGACTAAACACTAAATTTTACAATTTAGAATCTAAAATTTATCTTAACACTCAATCTGTACATTGGAAAATCAGAAACGAAGCAAAGAAAAAAAAAAAAACAATAGAACTGTTAGTAGTTAAAAATTAATGCAGAACAAGACATGTGTGTGTGTATATGTGTGTATGTTTGTTTTAACATCCATGCTTCAGTTTTCCTACAATATGCTCAAAACATCACATGTATAGATAAGAAAAGCTGATTCAATACCCACTTGACCTTTTTTGACAGGTAACGTATACCAACTGTAAACATTTTTCACAAGATTCAAGTAAGATTTTTTTTTCCCCCCAAAACCTAGTTAAGTAATCATTAAATAAATTTTTGTGAACTCTTAAATTTCTACAATGGCAACTTGTTTTTACAAAATGTTTTCTAATATTTTTGTCACCAGATATAATATAATCAAAGAATATATGTGTGTGTATATATATATATATATATTTGGTGGGGGGTGACAAATTTTTGTAATTAAGGCTGTGAAGAGTCATGATCACACACATCCTGAAAGGACGCTGCAGTAAAAAAAAAAAAAAAATTTGGTCTGCACACTTTAATATGAACAAAAACAAAGGTATGTATATATATATATATATATATATATATATATATATATATTTTACAAAACACACATACACATGTGTGTGTCTGTGTGAAAATTCAGAAATGACTAAAAATACATATATATATATAAAACGGTAATAATATGAATAAAGACAAAAGGAAAACTTTTCTTAGTCAACACATTTCATCTTCTGATGGACTTTGCCAAATGTAAAGATTTCAAGTAAAGATTCTGCAACAAGTATTTATAAACAGAATTAAATTCCTTACATTTGCCTTGATAAAGTCAGAGGACAAAACGTGTCAACTAAGTTCTCCTTTTGCCTTATATATATATATATATATATATATATAAGTAAGAATAGTAAGATTTATAATTCAGTGTTCTTAGCAATTATTTTTATTTTTTAAAAAAGTGCTCAAAACAAACAGAGCATAATATTAAAATTATTTTCTTTTTTAAAAATATGATTCCATAATGACACAGATATTTCTGTTTCAAAACTGAAACTAAAATTGTAAATTTAATTATAAAAATTAAACTTAAAATCCAGAGTTTTGTTCCATTGCCAGGCGATGTTAGGAATAACTAAG